GGGATCTAAGGAACAAGCAGTGCACATTTAGAAGGTGGATTTACCAAATTGGGATTTCAGGTATAGCCTGTCACAGAGATGCCAAATCTATTTTAAAACTCTGTTCACAGACAACTTTGCTCATAAGCAGCCAGGCAAAATAAGGTTACCTTTCTAGAGAGTCATAAAAATTTTCCTCTTCACTCATTCTACCTGGTGAAATGCCATCCAATAAAGATTCAGGAGGAACTAGTTCTTGGGCAATCTTCTATTGGTGGCATACCTTTTCAGAAGCAACATGAGGGAGCCTGATGACTTGAAAGGATCCCCCAGACTGTCTGGCTACTTTTTCCATTGTTTGTTGCTTGCCTTTTTCATAACCATCTGAATCTCCCCAAAGGCATACGACATGTACTGGATGCAACTTGTTCTCCACAAGAATTTGACAGATTTGCTCTGACTCTTGCTCTGGGAGCATGTTGGTGAACAGATACACTTCCTTGCAGGCTGGGTCTTCAAATGCCACAGCCAAGCCACTTGCAGCATCTGTGCCATTCTCAAACTGCAGGGATCGAATCCAGGCTGCAGCTTCAGTGACACTGCAGAGTGAACATTTGACCAAGCAGTCGCACCATTTTAATACCTATGGGGGGGAAAAAAAAGACAAAAAAGAAAAAGCCTCCTCCCCATTCCAAACTTGCAAATCTTTCCTAACGTGGGACAGATGTGAGATTCTGTATTTAGTATTTCTGTGTTTCCCGATGTCATCCTCTATAGTAATGAAGGAATTCCCCACATCCTATGACAAAATCCCTGTGGTCAGGTAGGGCTGGAGAAGGTCAGGCAGCCTCTCCACAACCTATACATGCACTGTAAACTGCACGTCTTTTCCCCCTCAGAGACAGCAGTCTTATCACTTCCTCCACTGCTGACATTCCCTATACTTTACAGGCTTTTCTCATTCTTAGCTGAATGACAATCAAAGCAGCTGTTCTCAGCTGGGAAAAAGCTTTGAAATTTGCTGCTTTTACTGCACATTTGAAGAAGGACTTGTGGTGCCCTAAAGCTCGTCTACTTTTCCAGCTATAGTGACCAGTCTAAAGAAAGACATTGGCTCTATTTGCAAACCTATGGTCGCTAACGCCTTTTCACTGTGACTGCTTTAAAGCCCCCTGTGACTCCCTGGCGGCGTTACCTTGCTGGAAAACGCTATGACATTGAACGCGGCCTCGGTGAGCCTGGCGGCCAGCTGGAAGAGAGTCCGTACGAGGTGCTCCTTCAGGTACCGGACCGCGGTGGCCGCGGCTCCCCGCACGCCGACCACAAAGGTGACGCCCTGCCCCCGGGGCTC